AGGTCATCAAAACTGAGAAAGTCATGATACAAAATTATATGTAACATGCAAATTGTGGTTGACATACATATATTGGATAGAACGTTTTGAGAAAAATAACAGAATGGTTAACAGGAGAACATCGTTTTACATAATTCGTAAACCATTTATATATAAATTGGTAAAAAAAAATCATGGGGAAATGAAATTATATTCCATGCCAGCATGTGTAACGTGTAGGTAATTTATGTGTAATATGATTGAAATAATGTTTACCTTAAAAGAAATTGGTAAAATGTAAGTTTGGTTTAGTTCATATTATGCCTCTCATTCCTCCATCCTGTGGGTGGTAGTGGACCCCATACCCATCCTGTGGGTGGTAGTGGACCCCATACCCATCCTGTGGGCGGAGGGGGACCACATACCCATCCTGTGGTGGTGGACCCTATACCCATCCCACGGGCGGTGGTGGACCCTATACGCATCCTGTGGGCGGTGGTGGATCCCTATACCCATCCCGTGGGCGGTGAGGGACCCCATACCCATCCCGTGGGCGGTGGTGGATCCCTATACCCATCCCGTGGGCGGTGGTGGACCCCATACCCATCCCGTGGGCGGTGGTGGATCCCTATACCCATCCCGTGAGCGGTGAGGGACCCCATACCCATCCCGTGAGCGGTGATGGAAAAGGTAACAAAGACACAACAGGTTCAGGAACTGAACCCCAACATTCATTTAGCTAAGCTACAAAATGAAAGCAATGATCATCACTCACAAGTGATTTTCCACGCCATGAGATGCAATCTTATGCCCAACTCTACTCCTGTGATACGGAAACCATTTGTACTCGGAGACGTGGCATTGACAGGCAGTTGACCCATGATTGACTGATAGCTAACTGGATGATAGTTGACTGACTCGTATGATTGATGGGGTGACTGGTTGGTGTGTAAATGTAAAAAAAAAATGTGACTAGTCGCTGGGAAACTTTTAACTGGAGTTGTTTGATGTTATAGATTCAGCTATTCGGAACAAAAGTTCCAAGTAGCACGGGCTATGGTGAGCCCGTAGTGGACTTGCTAAAGACAGGACTGCACGACATACCGACAGATCTCAACGTTATTAGGTCATAGCTCTGCTCGAACACGTATGCTATCAAATGTATAAAATCTTATTCAAACACATAACGTAACACTACGCCATTTTTACATTGTTTTAACGGTGTAGAGTCAAGGATGTAGCCTACTTCAAGACACTTCTAGGCACTTGTGGCAACATAAATTATCAGTTTTCTCTAGTTTGATTTACTGCGAGTGAAAATAGTAGGCGTTTTGTCTTTATATTTTTCAGTGAACGACAACAATTGAGAACTTGGGATTACTAAATTATAGCTATAAAACTGGCAGAGTTCAGCTGTTGTACCTGACATGTCAACTTGACGTTAAATTGGTAGTTAAGAATGTTATTTTAGTGCTCGAGGCTCACCACACGAGCAGATAAGGTATACTTGGTTTGGTGTTGGGCGTAAGGCCTATCACCAACCTGTGGAGGGTTATTAGGGCCACCACAACAGATTACTGACCAACCAGCATGTACACTTTAGTCAGATACAAAGTTCAAGATAAAATTAAACTCATGTTTACACCGAGAAATAGACTCACCTCTCTGTGTGTATATATCCATTGTGGTCTATGTAAGCCTGTGGTTCTCATATGGTGGTCCATGGATAGTGGTGCTCTCGCTAACCTCATAGTAATTTGCAAACACATAATAAAAAGGCACAAAATTATTCCCGTCATTCCTGTTGCAGGAAACTGTATTATATATAAACCTTGAAAGCGTCCACCATCGTCTGAACTAGACGGGGTTCATCTCGAAATCGAAATAATGAAACTGAACCATTTTTTGCATAATAATAATTCAAAGCTAGGCACTTATAACATATCAATTCATTCTCAAAACAGTTAGCAAATAATCTTTAGCAAATGATCGTTAATCGGCAATGCCTCGGCTGTTTATAAGTTAGAAACGCTTTATATATGGCCTGTAAGCTGCCCATCCTCATCTACAAAGGCGAAATGCTCGTTAATTCAGCCGCCAAACCCCCTGCTAATGAATCATGAACGGTTTACACGCGACTCACTACTGATGACATTCAATTCTATTTCTAACAGTAAATTAGACCAAGAGTTAGAAGTTAGCAAGTCTGCAAATGCTTCACTTACGTACTTCAAATACAAATTATCGCCAAGAGAATTTAAACAGCGCTACGCTTAACTATACGCAGATTTAATATATAATAATATTAATTTATATGTGAGAACAAACTAGTTTTTAATACATAATATGTGAGAATTGATGAATGAAATTGAAATTGATGAATGTGTTTGGGCAGGAGGGGTGGGAAGGGGTGGCCGCCGTTTTAACGAGCCTAGGCTGAGGACGGGTCGCCATTACCATAATTTCAACCGAATCAAAAATACCAAACCTAGCCTAAGCTATCGCAAGCCTAACTAAACACAAAATTATAATATACATTAATATTATTTATTTATTATCATAAAAGTACCCTTTGGCGGGGACAGGAAGCCTATATATTGTATATAAATATACTTTTGGGTTGTATCTAGGTCCCCTTCCCCCCCCCCCCTAGGATGAAACCCCACAACAGTTGCCTGACTCCCGGGTACCTATTTACTACCAGGTGAACAGAGGCAGCAGGTGAAAGGAAACATGCCTAAATATTTGTCCCAACTTGAAATCGAATCCAGGATCCCCGATTGTAAATAGAGAACGAAGCCAACTGTACTACAAGACCCCCCAATGTTGTTAAACAATAAGGGGAACAATTTACGAATGATCAGTCTACGTTTTGGGAGCCTAAGGATGGGATTATACATGTTTATTATACATGATTGTACCGTTATTATACATGACCGTTATACATGTTTAACAAATTTCAGCATAATGTTAGTTTATATATGTTAAGAGAGATGGGTTTTACGGCAACTATCTTGACTTGTCTACGGCCTGCTCACAATCCTTCAAGGAGAGTTCAATTCCCGGGACAGAAACGGTTGGGCACGTTTCAGTTTTCACCTGATGCCTCTGTTGACCTAACAGTAAATAAATACCTAAAAGCTAGGCAACTGTTGTGGGTTGCATACTGGGAGAGATTTATAGGCCTAGGGGACCCCCACAATAGGCTACCCATCCCCGTTAAATGGGAATATTTCCTTCTAGGTCCTCTCGAATGTTAAAAGGATGAAACCTGTCTATATGTAATGACCCTACATATACGGCTATATCATTAAGCATATCCCCGGTCCAACATAATACATGCTTACAACTGTATGCATAGTTTATACATTTTTCTTGGCATAGAAAAAAGGGCTGCATAGTCTTTGTAATGTATATAGCGAAGTAATACATGTTTTATTATGTTCTTTGGTTATATGTATAAAACATTTAATATACATACATACATACATGCACACATACATACATACATACATACATACATACATACATACATACATACATACGTACGTACGTACGTACGTACATACATACTGAGTCGTTCTCTCTCTCTCTCTCTCTCTCTCTCTCTCTCTCTCTCTCTCTCTCTCTCTCTCTCTCTCTCTCTCTCTCTCTCTCTCTCTCTCTCTCTCTCTCTCTCTCTCTCTCTCTCTCTCTCTCTCTCTCTCTCTCTCTCTCTCTCTCTCTCTCTCTCTCTCTCTCTCTCTCTCTCTCTCTCTCTCTCTCTCTCTCTCTCTCTCTCTCTCTCTCTCTCTCTCTCTCTCTCTCTCTCTCTCTCTCTCTCTCTCTCTCTCTCTCTCTCTCTCTCGTACACACATACTTTGCTATGTACATTTATTCAAACTAAACTGAACGTTGAAGTATAAATTCAAACAAAATTGTATAAAATCATTTTTGAATCAGATAATTAGGATGCAACTGATTGCACCACACAACAGGTAAATGGAATGAAAACCATATAAATATACAGAGAGGGAGTAAAGATGTTTTTAAATATTACCACAACCAGTTGTAGCAGAGGAGACATCACCCTGAATCCTAAAGGAGTGTGCAAAGGAACTTAGCTACTCGCTCGGGATTATTTAAAAAAATATCCCGCCAAAAAATGGAGACTGGCCTTTATAAGGTAAATAATGTTACAATATATAGCCTAACAGGGGGGGACGATCCTCTAATTTACGAACGGTTTCTCTGATGGGTGTATTGTTCGAACACTTAACGTAGTTTGAACAACCTACAAGAGCAGTACGAACAGTAGCGACTGTAGTTGTTCGAACACTTGCAAGACCCAATAGAGAAATAGGAAATGTAATGTTTATCTCTCAGAATGTTTGGTAATATGTTTATTGTTTGTGATGTGTGTCTATGTATGTATTAACACGATGTACTGAACGGGGTGAGAATAGCTTGAGCTACCTCATCCCTTTGTGTGTATTTTACCACAATAAACTTATTTCAATTTCAATTTCAATAGAGAAACATATCACCCCGGGAATGTAACACAGATCAGTTTCATATCATTAAAATCATGTACAGTATACCCAATATGCTACGGTACGGCACGATAAGGACTTCTACCCATGAACATTACTAGCCCCAGACAGTACCAAGGTTTTAGCCCCACGTGCAAAGTTATGAAGTAAAACAGACAATGTTTCGCCCCTGTGCTAGGTTATGTAGTCTCTGGAGACGCTCCACACTCACCTTAACACAGTACACCGTTAAGAGGAGACCTGGGGCCAGATTCACGAAGCAGTTACGCAAGTACTTACGAATGTGTACATCTTTCCTCAATCTTTGACGGCTTCGTTTACATTTATTAAATAGTTTACAAGCATGAAAACTTGCCAATCAACTGTTGTTATTGTTATAAACAGCCTCCTGGTGTTTCGGAGCTCATTTAATGGTTTAATAATTGTAAACAAAGCCGCCAAAGATTGAGAAAAGATGGACAGGTTCGTAAGTGTTTGCGTAACTGCTTCGTGAATCTGGCCCCAGAGGAACAGTGCGTATTGGAACTTGCACCTAATAATTCATTCGTGAAAGTTAAGTGTTGAAAGGTGAGCATTAAGCCAGTACCAGAAATATGAGAAATGGGGAATGATCTTAGTGTAAAAGAGTTCTTAGTATCACAAAGCTATGGAAATAGGAGATTCAGAGGAGACCTAACCGCAGCATACAAGATATACAGAGACAGACAAAGTGTTCGACATGGGTTGAACTATCACGAAAGAACACATGTGAACGCTGGTAACCTAGATATGTCAGGGCTGTAATATAACATTACTTCAACATAAGGGTAGTAGTGGAATGAGTTACATTAGAAGACAGTAGCGACTAACTCCAGTCACAGTAATCAAATGAGCCACTGTACGACAAATCACGAGGCTGCGTAGACCCAAACAAATTGAAACGTCGCCCTTGAACGGGCCTCAGAAGCACAGTATACAGACACAGTTGTATCCTGCTCTGTCTGTCTCACTGTCATGCCTTAGAGGCCCCTGTCCAGCTGAACCTGACGTCTGGATGCTCAGGTGCAGGCTGGAGCCCCATTTCCAGACGCCAGTAATGACCTGCAACACCTAGAGACTCAGGTGCAGGCTGGAGCCCCACTTCCAGACGCCAGTAATGACCTGTAACACCTAGAGACTCAGGTGCAGGCTGGAGCCCCACTTCCAGACGCCAGTAATGACCTGCAACACCTAGAGACTCAGATGCAGGCTGGAGCCCCACTTCCAGACGCCAGTAATGACCTGTAACACCTAGAGACTCAGGTGCAGGCTGGAGCCCCACTTCCAGACGCCAGTAATGACCTGTAACACCTAGAGACTCAGGTGCAGGCTGGAGCCCCACTTCCAGACGCCAGTAATGACCTGCAACACCTAGAGACTCAGGTGCAGGCTGGAGCCCCACTTCCAGACGCCAGTAATGACCTGTAACACCTAGAGACTCAGATGCAGGCTGGAGCCCCACTTCCAGACGCCAGTAATGACCTGTAACACCTAGAGACTCAGGTGCAGGCTGGAGCCCCACTTCCAGACGCCAGTAATGACCTGCAACAAAGGTCTTGGTTGTGTGGTGTTTGATGCCATGAAGTGTTTGGTGAGAGAAGAGGACGAAGGGTGATGTAGATCTCGCCTGACAAATCAGCTTAGTGTGTGTAGTGAATAATGGTGGCGCTCCTTACCGGAGTAGAGAAACATGTTCAGCTGGACGACGGACTTGTGGTGGTAGATAAGAGGAGAATGCTCTATACTATCATTCGATCCACTGCGCTTCGTATGGAAGTGGTTCAGGCCCGCAGGTAAATACTCAACACATCATTTGACAGATGAAACAAGCGTCCTACAAGCCTCCCAGCAAATGACGCCATTCTCTCTCGAGAGACAAGTATGTCAAAATGTTAAAGATAGATCTGTTTATAGAAAAGAAAGTAGCGTGTGTAATACACTAACCCGTACACTGCTCCAAATGCCCATATGCGATTTTGTCCTATTTTATTTACCATTTTTAGTGCACCTCAATGTGGTGCTTTTAAACTGCTGCGCAGTTTAAGGGTTAATAACGAGGCTCTAAGCTCATATCCGTTAAGGAGTGATATCTTTAGTGAGCGGGACTTCTTCCTTTGAAGGTGCTGGAGCGAAGAACTTCTCGATCTCCTCCAGCGTCTTGCCTCGTGTCTCTGGCAGGAAGATGCCCAGGGCCACGCCGGAGAGGCTGAAGAAGGCGTACATCCAGAAGACGACGTAGGTACTCATCACGTCCGTCAAGAGTGGGAACGTCAAGCCGATAACGAAGGCGAAGAAGGAGTAAGCAGTGACGGCCACGCCGTTTCCTATGGTTCTTACCGCCAGAGGAATAAGTTCTCCGGAAAGCAGCCAGGGGATGGGGCCGTATCCCAGCTCGTTGAAGAAGACGTAGATGAGGAGAGAGGCGAGAGGCAGCCAGCTGATGCTCTGTGGAACACATCAAGACATGTCAGTAAACACCATCCAACACACAACCTAACCACAACATTAGTTGTACTCTATTAACGTTGGTGAAACGTTGCCACACGTAATAAAGTTGTGGTTATGGTGTGGGAATGTGAGTATTGAGCAAGCGAGGGAGATCCTGCAGCCCAACACGTTAAATACACCTTAGCAAAATGTCCCAAATTTAATTTGCTGTTTATATAATTTTTTATTCCTGTTGCCCAATCACTTGGGCTGGACGGTAGAGTGACGGTCTCGCTTCATGCAGGTCGGCGTTTAATCCCCGACCGTCCAAGTGGTTGGCCACCATTCCTTTCCCCCGTCCCATCCCTAATCCTTATCCTGACCCCTTCCCAGTGCCATATAGTCGTAATGGCTTGGCGCTTTCCCCCCTGATAGTTCCCTTCCCTTCTACAGTTGATGTAGTGCTGCCGTTGATGACAGACGCGATTCAATTCCGCGTCTGATTCAATTTCAATTTGATTCAATTTCATCTAACACTACGTATGATAGCAGGCGGACTGTCCACCTTGCTGACACAATGTGTGTATTTATCAGGCAAGCTGTCCCAGTCTCCCCAGAGAGCTGCCAGTGTTTGTAAAGTCCCCAAGATGTGTATTTACATATATGAATATGTGTTTTCTCAACTCACCGATCCCTCCCTCACTCCCCTCCTCCCTCATCACGTTCTCCCCCTCCTACCCTTCCTCCCTCCTACCTTACCTCCCCAAACCCCTCCCTCCTGGCCTACCTCCTACCTAGGAACTTACCTCAGTGAAGCCAACCTCCTTGAGGTAGAAGAAGGTGCCTATGGACACCATTCCTACACAGGAGCCAATAGAGGAGATGATTAGGAGAGGCTTGCGGCCCGCCCGGTCCAGTAGTCCAGCGCTCACTAGCGTTGATATGAACCTGAAACGGTACAGTGGTAGTCACCAAGATGGTGCGGTACAGTCACCAGGATGGTGCGGTACAGTCACCAGGATGGTGTGGTACAGTGCCCGAAGGCCTACTTATTGAATTGGCGCCAATCCTTAACTGGTCGCCGTTATTAACCGAGCAATAACTGGGGGATCCGGTTGTAAACCGATTAGAGAGTGGTGTTCTAGGGAAAACTAGTAAGGCTTACCATGAGCTATGGGAAGGGAAAGCTCTCAGCCAGCTAACAGGAGTCAGCAGTCGTCTGCTCCTGTACCCTCCTGTGTGTAAAACTAGTAGGGAAAGGCTTACCATGAGCTATGGGAAGGGAAAGCTCTCAGCCAGCTAACAGGAGTCTGGAAACAATGTAGTTTGGAGTTATTGCAACAGATAAATGACAGCAAGAAGTGACAAAACAAGGAACTTGATTTATGTCTCAACACACACACACACACACACACACACACACACACACACACACACACACACACACACACACACACACACACACACACACACACACACACACACACACACACACACACTACTCACCTCACCAAGCCAACAATGACTGTAGCAGTGTTGGCATCAGTGTTGGTGTTGGCCTCATTGAAGATATCGACAGTGTAGGCGGTAACCACAGCAAACCCGCTGAACTGTCCACACATGAACACGAGGAACACGATCAGCACCGGCTTCCAGTTCTGAGGCTTCCTGTATGGGCGAGATACCAGTCAGATCAAACTGAGTTATACCCGTCCTGATATACCCAACTGAGGGTCCTGAGTGGCAAGGGATATATTTATGCCCTCTGAGTGCTCAGGGAGATATACTCTTTGATCATTTACGTTGATATACTCTGGGAAGGGAAGGGAACTATCAGGGGGGAAAAGCGCCAAGCCATTACGGCTATATAGCACTGGGAAGGGGTCAGGATAAGGATTTGGGATGGGACGGGGGGAAGGAATGGTGCCCAATCACTTGTGGACGGTCGGGGAATATACTCTGGGTACAGCTAGAAAATATATGCGTTTCCAGGATACAAAACACAACAGTTGCATACCTCCCAGGTATCTATTTCACTGCTGAGTGAATAGAAGCATCAGGGGGGGGGGGAAGGAAACGTGCCCTACCGTCTCCGTCTCGCCCGAGGATCGAACCTATAGTATCCTATATGTGAGTCAAGGACTTACATCGCTATGTTATAAGACCCCTTACTATATATGATAAATTATATTGTTCAGAAGGATGAGTGCCGAGGCCCAAGAGCTGAGGTTCAGGGTGGACTCGAGCAGACCAACTCTCTGGACGCCTATAGTAAGGCGGTTCGTCAGGACACGCGATCAAAGTATCTGTTCTTATCAGCTTAATATCTGATACGATCCCCATGTGGGATCCTCGATATTAAACTGATTTTTGCAACATGGCGAAGTGCTAGGAGCTTGCTCCACCTTTACCGCGGATCGGCCCGGTATTGCAGTATCTTTGGGATCGGTTCGTGAGGACACGCGGTTCGTGAGGACACGCGGTTCGTGAGGACACGCGGTTCATCAGTATACACGGTTCGTGAGGACACACGGAGGCCCCACGAATACAGACAAGTCACCCGTTGATGACGTCACGACCAGCCAGTAGGATCTGAAACCTGAACCTTCACGGACATTATGACGTCAGAGTGACGTCACAAACCACGTGCACATCATCCATAAAAAAAATATATATTTATACACACATAAATAAAAATGTACATTATCTCTTTATCTTCGTTACGTTAGGTTAGGATAGGTTAGATTAGGTAGAGATAAGTTGGATTGGGTTGAGTTGTGTTTGTTTACATTTGGGATGACGTAGAGGGGGTACATATTTATGTCCTGTTTTAGACTCTAGATGTACTCTGGGCTGGCCTCGTCCCCTGATGATTCGTCTGTCGTTTCATCTTCTTTATGATGATAATAATCTTTATTTGAATATATAGATAAGTGCGGTAAAGGCACATGTTAATCTTCTCACCTGGATGAGTGAGGCACAAGGTCTGGGTCTCACCTGAAGAGCTTCAGTTGCTCCCAAACGGAGATTTCGGCGCCGTCTGTAGCCATGATGTTAGTGTAGATAATGTTGATTTCAGCGTTCACGTTGTGAGATTTCCTCCTGAAGAATCTGCCGGAGGAAGGCTGTGGTGAGTGTGTATGTATTCACCTACTTGTGCTTGCGGGGGTTGAGCTCTGGCTCTTTGGTCCCGCCTCTCTAATGTAGTATCAGAAAAAACTTTTAAAGTTGTCTTTATTTGAACCTTCAGGTAAATATGGTTTGAGTTCTGACGCGTTTGGTAATGTGACTCTTTTTAAAGTACTAATCCTGGCCTGAAATGAGTTTGTGACTCTCCTCGGACTGGAGATAGGGTTTGGGACTTACCTGAGAGAGTGCTCGGCCTTTCTCAGCTGGGCCTTCTTGGTGAGCCACTGTGGAGACTCTGGGAGGAAGATCATGGAGACGAAGAGAGGCAGACAAGGCACCAGCGCCGACACCCCCGCCAGCCACCGCCAGTCCGTCACAGCTCTGTAACACAACCTCGCACTTTATACCCTACACGGTACACTATAGCAACTCCCACCCTACACGGTACACTATAGCAGCTCCCACCCTACACGGTACACTATAGCAGCTCCCACCCTACACGGTACACTATAGCAGCTCCCACTCTACACGGTACACTATAGCAGCTCCCACTCTACACGGTACACTATAGCAGCTCCACCCTACACGGTACACTATAGCAGCTCCACCCTACACGGTACACTATAGCAGCTCCACCCTACACGGTACACTATAGCAGCTCCACCCTACACGGTACACTATAGCAGCTCCCACCCTACACGGTACACTATAGCAGCTCCCACTCTACACGGTACACTATAGCAGCTCCACCCTACACGGTACACTATAGCAGCTCCACCCTACACGGTACACTATAGCAGCTCCACCCTACACGGTACACTATAGCAGCTCCCACTCTACACGGTACACTATAGCAGCTCCACCCTACACGGTACACTATAGCAGCTCCCACTCTACACGGTACACTATAGCAGCTCCACCCTACACGGTACACTATAGTAGCTCCCACTCTACACGGTACACTATAGCAACTCCCACTCTACACGGTACACTATAGCAACTCCACCCTACACGGTACACTATAGCAGCTCCACCCTGAGCCCACCCTTCACGGTACAACAGGTGTAGAGATTAATGGAGACTTACCCGAAGGCGTAGCACAAGAGGGAGCCGAGAGCGACGGCGGCTTCGGGGAAGGCTCCCAGCAGACCACGAATGCGAGGCTCAGCGATCTCTGTAGCGTACACCTGTTTAGCACCCAAAATGAGGTGAGTATAAGGAGACCCCCAGGCCTATATGGCCACATGCTATACGTATATAACCACCAACAGCCAAATATACAAGCACCAACGACCATATATAAACAAACATCAACAGTATATGGCCAAAACAAATATTGAAGTGACGATATTTTACAAACAACAGAACAATTTTTATTTAACATGAGCAGGCAAAGGGTTAACTGTGTTGAATTACATTTAGTTAAAAAATTTCCTGTTAGGGATCTGTTCGTACCAAGAACGAGGCTCACTGACCTATACATGCGGGAAGAAGTCTGGGTCAGTAGTTATTAAGTATTTATGCTGCCTCTTACGAAACCTGTTCATCTTTCGTCAATCGTGGAGGCTTTATTTGCCTTACCTGCGGCACGGGTGGCACCCCTGGCCTTACCTGCGGCACGGGTGGCCCTCCTGGCCTTACCTGCGGCACGGGTGACCACTCCCGGCCTTATCTGCGGCACGAGTGGCCCTCCTGGCCTTACCTGCGGCAAGGGTGGCGCTTCTGAACTTACCTGCGGCACGGGTGACCACTCCCGGCCTTACCTGCGGCACGGGTGGCACCCCTGGCCTTACCTGCGGCACGAGTGGCCCTTCTGAACTTACCTGCGGCACAGGGTGACCCTCCTGAGCTTACCTGCGGCACGGGGGAGAATATACCAAGGAAGACGCCGGTGATCAGGCGGCCGACGTAGATGAGAGAGACAGAGTTGGCGAAAGAGATGAAGGACCAGGAGAGCAGACAGGGCAGCGCCGTCAGGAGCAGCGTCATGCGCGGGCCCACGGCGTCCATCATCACGCCCCCCAACAACGACCCCAGGATAGATGATATGGACGGCAGGGACGCTGTTGACAGGCCAGGACAAGTTATCTTGAGGGGGGATTTCTTAGCGTCCCCGCGGCCCGGTCCTCGACCAGGCCTCCCTATTTTTGTTACATGTCCCCCCAAGAAGCAGCCCGTAGCAGCTGTCTAACTCCCAGGTACCTATTTTACTGCTAGGTGAACAGGGGGCATCAGGGTGAAAGAAACTGCTCATTTGTTTCCGCCTCCACCGGGGATCTAACCCGGAACCTTAGGACTATGAATCCCGAACCTTGTCCACTCAGCTGTCAAGGTTCTAAGTCCTCACCTAACCATCTTCCTCCTCACTAAATCATCCTACTCTTTAATAAATCTAACCTAACTTAATCCAAAGATATGGGAAAAAACTTAAAAATCAAGACTTAAAACTAATTGAGATAAAAAACATGAATTGAACTGAAAAATGCAACAAAAATGGCAATAATTACATGTTGAATGGAACAGCAGAAATTGCAACAGAATCGCAGAAGTAAATTTTTAACTAAATAAACAGACAACAATTTTCTTTTATGTACATTGCATTGGTTTAAGTTTATACTCTAACTTATACCTGAGTTTACCTGAGGGCCATCAACTCTCTAGTGGCTTAGATAAAGACACAAAGCCATCGGGTTGTCAAAGATCCCTAAATCTTTGCCTACAAGAGGAGTAGGCGAGGTATCAAGAAATATCGAGATATCACTACCCCGGTTAAGTAATGATAGCATTTACTGTGCTATCTTGCTTACTGCTCGCTGTATCTGCACATATAAGGATAGAGAGAGCCTCACCTATCCATCCTGAGTCTCTGGCGTCAACGTAATCAATGGACGTGTCGTTCCTGAGCTGTGGGAGTGTCAGGGAGGAATAGGCTGTGATGAAGCCTATGCTTACGGCTGAAAGTGAGGCGAATGCTCCGGCCGCTACCTAATGGGTGTAGAAGAGAGCATTGATGAGTATGACACTGACAGTATACTGTGGTGAGGAGTGTGACAGTGACAATATACTGTGGTGATGACAGTGTAGTAAAAATTTTATTCCAGCAAAAAATTTGAATAGCTGTAGTAGTACTAGAAATAATACATATATATAAGAAAATAATCGAAAATAAGCCATGAAATTGATATTGTTTTGAAAGTAAACAACTGAAATCACTTAATATATAATCACTATATAATCACTTATTAAGAAGGAAAATGACAGTAAATGACCAAGTAACTAGATTACAATAAAGGGGAGGTGAACATATAGCAAATGACAAGGACATTTGTGAGGAATTAAATGTCAGTTTCCATGGAGTCTAACGTAACTAAGATGAGCTTTACTGCTAGGTAACAGGGGCATCAGGGTGAAAGAAACTTTGCCCGTTTGTCTCTGCCAGCGCCGGAAATCGAACCCAGGCCACAGGACTACGAGTCCTGCGCGCTGTTCACTCAGCTACAAGACTCCTATGTGTGTGTGAACTCACCTATTTGTGCTTGCGGGGGTTGAGCTCTGGCTCTTTGGTCCCCGCTTGGTCCTTTGTGTGTGTGTGTGTGTGTGAATATGCTCACCTAATTGTACTCACCCAATTGTGCTTGCGGGGGTTGAGCTCTGGCTCAACCCCCGCTGTGTGTGTGTGTGTGTGTACTCACCTAATTGCCTAATTGTGTGTGTGTGTGTGTGTGTGTGTGTGTGTGTGTGTGTGTGTGTGTGTGTGTGTGTGTGTGTGTGTGTGTGTGTGTGTGTGTGTGTGTGTGTGTGTGTGTGTGTGTGTGTGTGTGTGGGGTCGCCAGCCGCCTAGTTGAAGTATTCAGCCCCTGGAGGAGTATCACGTGCCAGTCTGCTGCTCACTAATGGTTATCTGCAGAGGCAGCTAGTTTATTATGTTTGTGGTCAGACCCGGCCCGCGCCACGCCCCGCCCTCCCCACACACGGCCCGCGCCACGCCCCGCCCTCCCCACACACGGCCCGCGCCACGCCCCGCCCTCCCTCACACGGCCCGCGCCACGCCCCGCCCTCCCTCACACGGCCCGCGCCACGCCCCGCCCTCCCCACACACGGCCCGCGCCACGCCCCGCCCTCCCCCCCACACGGCCCGCGCCACGCCCCGCCCTCCCTCACACGGCCCGCGCCACGCCCCGCCCTCCCCACACACGGCCCGCGCCACGCCCCGCCCTCCCCACACACGGCCCGCGCCACGCCCCGCCCTCCCCACACACGGCCCGCGCCACGCCCCGCCCTCCCCACACACGGCCCGCGCCACGCCCCGCCCTCCCCACACACGGCCCGCGCCACGCCCCGCCCTCCCCACACACGGCCCGCGCCACGCCCCGCCCTCCCCCCACACGGCCCGCGCCACGCCCCGCCCTCCCCACACACGGCCCGCGCCACGCCCCGCCCTCCCCACACACGGCCCGCGCCACGCCCCGCCCTCCACACACACGGCCCGCGCCACGCCCCGCCCACCCCACACACGGCCCGCGCCACGCCCCGCCCACCCCACACACGGCCCGCGCCACGCCCCGCCCTCCCCACACACGGCCCGCGCCACTCCCCGCCCTCCCCACACACGGCCCACGCCCCGCCCTCCCCACACAGTCAGCGAGGCGGGACCAAAGAGCCAGAGCTCAACCCCCGCTAGGTGAGTGCACGTGTTAGGAAAGGCCGCGCCCCCCACACAGAAGGCCACACACCCAGCCCACCTAGACCCCAACCGTCACTATATCTCTGTCCTCATCTGCCCGGCCTGGTCTACCCTTTGAGCTGTTCTGCTGGTGGTTATCCCCCCGCAAGGGTGTGCGGGGCCTCAAACCTGTTGTCTCTGCCACCACCACCACCACCACCACCACCACTACTACCATTGTACCACTGCCGCCACCACTGTACCACCATCATCACTGGTGGGAGCCCAATTTTTAATTTATTAACAAGTAATTATCAAAAGAAGGGGCCAAGCCGGGTATCTATTAACAAGCTTATGTATATTTAGGTAGCAGCAATGTCCTATTCTATATGAAAGATAACAAAGTGTAGGCAGGGGAGAACATGAAATGCGAGGCTACTGGGGCCCTTAGTGGGGTCCCCGTAAGGTGGGGTCCACTATACTGCCAATAGGATGGATATGGGGGTCCACCACAGCCCAGAATGGGTTTGGGGTCCACTACAGACCACAGGATGGGTACGGGGTCCACTACAGACCACAGGATGGGTACGGGGTCCACCACCACCGTCTACAGGATGGGTACGGGGTCCACCACCACCGTCTACAGGATGGGTACGGGGTCCACCACCTACAGGATGGGTACGGGGTCCACCACCACCGTCTACAGGATGGGTACGGGGTCCACCACCACCGTCTACAGGATGGGTACGGGGTCCACCACCACCGCCTACAGGATGGGTATGGGGTCCACCACCACCGTCTACAGGATGGGTACGGGGTCCACCACCACCGCCTACAGGATGGGTACGGGGTCCACCACCACCGTCTACAGGATGGGTACGGGGTCCACCACCACCGTCTACAGGATGGGTACGGGGTCCACCACCACCGTCTACAGGATGGGTACGGGGTCCACCACCACCGTCTACAGGATGGGTACGGGGTCCACCACCACCGTCTACAGGATGGGTACGGGGTCCACCACCACCGCCTACAGGATGGGTATGGGGTCCACCACCACCGCCTACAGGATGGGTATGGGTGCGATAATAAATGCAATCAGCTAACTAGCCCTTCCTCTCCCTTTTTTGTACCCCCCATCCCGCCCACATACCCACCTATCCCTATCCCCTTTTCCCCTCCCCCCTCCCTGAAACCCCCTTCCGACCCTCCTAAGTGAGACTCGGCTCTTGGTCCCGCCTCACACTACTGGCGCCTTGTTCAGCATGAAATATTAAACTCTCTTGGAGACATAGCTCGAACTTGGGCCATAAATTAACACAGGGAGGTAAGACGTTTTTTTAGCTGTACTTGTGTTGGTGGGAGTTCTGAGTCCCAGACTGTATATAACTGTGCTTATGGGGGTTGAACTTCAGCTCTTTCCTCCCGGCTCTCAACCATCCATCGATTGGTATACAGGGTATTAAGCCTATAGTAGGCTATCATATCTACACTTGAAGCTGTGTGTGACGTCTGCCTCCACGTTCATTAATTTGATATTAAAAATGTCTCTGTGGCTCCTTTTGGTGCTTAGTTTTAACCGGAGAGAGAGAGAGAGAGAGAGAGAGAGAGAGAGAGAGAGAGAGAGAGAGAGAGAGAGAGAGAGAGAGAGAGAGAGAGAGAGAGAGAGAGAGAGAGAGAGAGAGAGAGAGAGAGAAAATCACTTCATCAATGATCATTCATTCTCAGACTCATGTTGGCTTAGCCCGTAGAGACAAGTGAACTCAGACCAACCCACTAAGTTGTTCTTGCATACAGTTGGCTCTAGTTACTACCCTGATTCTATCTTAGTACTGAATGTAGTTTATTTTTCGTGGAACTAGTAATTAAGCTCATCAAATAAATAAGTTTCTAGGGTCAGGCTTCAGATAAGCTGATGTGCGATAACAGCTCTTATCGTACAGTTTCATTAGGAACATCATCATTCCTAATGAGGCCCCCAGTCTTAGTTAAGTAACAAATGAGAGAGTATAGGGAAAATAGATAACAGAGGACTTTGCATAGGCCTAACTAGCTTATCTGATTTGAAGCGTGACTACAGCGTTGCTACGGGGCCTAAACACACACACACCAGAGTCCATGGCATCTCCCACCACCCAAAATATGCTCCATTTTTTTACATATTGGATCGAGGTGTCTTTTAAATCAACGTTAAAGCAACGTAGGATCCACCTTAAATCAACGTGGGATCAACGTTAAATCAACATAAGAGCAACGCTATCAACATCTATTCACAACTATCAAACTTTGTCAACTTCAGTTACTACACTTCACTACTGTTTCACTGACGAATTTTGTTCGAACCACAACGCTGTAAATGCTTCACCCACGTACTATAAATACAAATAATCGCCAACAGAACCTCGACACCTAACCTAACCTAACCTAACCTATGCCTATATATGAACAATATACTAATATATTATAATATTAATTTATATTTGAGAAAATTCACGTCTTGAATGAACAGCATGTTAAAATTTATGAATGCGTCTGTGGGGTCGACCGCTGGATGTAATGGACTTGAGTCGAGGACGGATAGCATTGTGGTTCAGTGAGACAACTCAGTTTGGTACTTTGAATTTAGAGATTTGTTCAATATTATCGGTAATGAACTTGGAAATCATTCTATGAGCATTTGTCAATGCAGCCTCATGCTTGTTCACAATGCGACCCCTCGCCAAAAACGACCACGTTAACTTTGTTTTATCTAGTAATTTCTCAAGTGCAAATTAATATATTATATATTATGTGAAAATCCGTTGGAGCAGTACGATGGGATCGAACACACGGCATGGATTCGAGTCTATTACAGAAGATTTTCTCATACATCACGCTATTGTTGTTTCATTATGCATTATATATTATGTTTTTTAAAACCTAGGCCTGGAGTTTGTGTTGTCTTTGATGGCAATTATTTATATTTAAAATGTTTGGAACCGTATTTACATTATTTACAATTAAACTGTAAAACAAGTGGCTACTGGAATTTAACGCTGGCAAGTGTAAATGTAAAGAAACCTGGGGCCAGATTCAGGAAGCAGTTACGCAAGTACTTACGAACGTGTACATCTTTCCTCAATCTTTGACGGCTTTGGTTACATTTATTAAACAGTTTACAAGCATGAAAACTTGCCAATCAACTGTTGTTATTGTTATAAACAGCCTCCTGGTGCTTCGGAGCTCATTAACTCTTTAATAATTGTAAACAAAGCCGCCAAAGTTTGAGAAAAGATGTACAGGTTCGTAAGTGTTCGCGTAAGTGCTTTCGTGAATCTGGCCCCTGGTGCTGGTCACAAAAGATCGGGTACAAAAATATGCAACAAAATTTTGGATTGAGAACAAAAACAGAGCCAAAATTTGACTTTTATTAAACAATTTATGAGCCCCGAAGCAATGCGAGGTTGTTTATAACAATAATAACCTTGGGTTGTGAAGTTTCGAAATTTATAAACTATTTAATAAATATAAACAACGCTGCCATAATTTTTTGTTGAATGTTGTTGAATTTTTTGTGAATTGTTGAATGATGTATATATTATGGAGGCGTTGGTTGTTTGTCGATTGGGAACGGCAGTGACATAACTAGCGTTTGACAGTGCCACTAACACGGGGCAGTGACAGAAGTAACTTTTCGCAGTGCCACTAACACAGTAGTGACAGAAGTAACTTGACAGTGCCACTGACACACAGCAGTGACAGAAGTAACTTTTGACAGTGCCACTAACACGGGGCAGTGACAGAAGTAACTTTTGACAGTGCCACTAACACACAGCAGTGACAGAAATAACTTGACAGTGCCACTGTCACACAGCAGTGACAGAAGTAACTTTTGACAGTGCCACTAGCACACAGCAGTGACAGAAATAACTTGACAGTGCCACTAGCACACAGCAGTGACAGAAATAACTTGACAGTGTCACTAACACAGCAGTAACTTTTGTCAGTGTCACTTACACACAGCAGTGCCAGAAGTAACTTTTAACAGTGCCACTAACACACAGCAGTGACAGAAGTAACTTTTAACAGTACCACTGACACACAGCAGTGACAGAAGTAACTTTTAACAGTGCCACTGACACACAGCAGTGCCAGAAGTAACTTTTAACAGTGCCACTGACACAGCAGTGCCAGAAGTAACTTTTAACAGTGCCACTGACACACAGCAGTGCCAGAAGTAACTTTTAACAGTACCACTAACACACAGCAGTGCCAGAAGTAACTTTTAACAGTACCACTGACACACAGCAGTGCCAGAAGTAACTTTTAACAGTACCACTGACACACAGCAGTGCCAGAAGTAACTTTTAACAGTACCACTGACACACAGCAGTGCCAGAAGTAACTTTTAACAGTACCACTGACACACAGCAGTGACAGAAGTAACTTTTAACAGTGCCACTAACACGCCTGGCGACAATACCATAATGCAGCTATATCTGTACGCTTGGGATAAAAGTATATAATCTGAATGAATGGTATCTACTGGAAAAACGATTGAAACTGTACGCTTTTCAGGGCTAATGATCACCTGCTTGAAGGGTCAAGTAAAAGCGTTATATACTGTACGCATGTTACATCACGAGAGTAAGCTCCTAGTGTAATTAGTTTTGTTATTGATCACATGCCTATCCTGAGGGCGGTGGTAAACCCATCCTGTGGGTGGTGGCGGATCGAATACCCATCCTGTGGGCGATGGTGGACCCCATACCCATCCTGTGGGCGATGGTGGACCCCATACCCATCCTGTGGGCGATGGTGGACCCCCATACCCATCCTGTGGGCGATGGTGGACCCCATACCCATCCTGTGGGCGATGGTGGACCCCATACCCATCCTGTGGGCGATGGTGGACCCCATACCCATCCTGTGGGCGATGGTGGACCCCATACCCATCCTGTGGGCGATGGTGGACCCCATACCCATCCTGTGGGCGATGGTGGACCCCCATACCCATCCTGTGGGCGATGGTGGACCCCCATACCCATCCTGTGGGCGATGGTGGACCCCATACCCATCCTGTGGGCGATGGTGGACCCCATACCCATCCTGTGGGCGGTTGAGCACTCCATACCCATCCCGTGGGCCCCGCCAAAAAAGTTAGTGACATAATAATCAGAAACTAGACCCCCACACTGCCATAAATCTATGATCAAATTACACTTAGCGGCAATAATCAAATCCCAGAACTGTAGTGAAAATATAAATTACAGACATGATGTACCCAATACATAATAATAATAATAATAATAATAATAATAATAATAATAATAATAATAATATAATGGCTAGGATTTTCGGTAATGCCATCTCGTATTAAATATCTGGCCATTTGTAGAACAAATTAGTAATATTCTCTAAATTGTGCTTTACCCTTAATTACATAGTTACGCAAAGAACAAGTTTTTTTGTTCTAACAAAGTTTACATTTGGGAAGAAAATAGACCTTAGGGACAAAGTGAGTGCCGGTATTCACAGTTGAGTCAAAGCCTATTACTACGAGTAACCTCTATAGCACTGGTGACAATTGAAGGACTCAGAATTTACAAGGTTAAACAACTTGAAAGGAATTTACATTATAAAATTATTTGAGATGGAACCGTGCTGTTCTCAAGACAATATGGCATATAGGCACACACGTATAGTCGAATTCTGTGTTAGCGATAAGACCTACCATCAATGTATAATGATTTACTATAAATATATAGCTCTTGAAATAGAACTTTCTCTGTAATTATAAGGTGAGACATTTTAATTATAAGGTGTGAAGGATAGATGAAACTGTTTATGTAATAATCTAAAGCCGCCTCCGGCGGCACACCTGTGCCAGGTAAGTCCACTACGGGCTCACCATAGCCCGTGCTACTTGCCCCGCTCCTGTGCCAGGTAAGTCCACTACGGGCTCACCATAGCCCGTGCTACTTGCCCCGCTCCTGTGCCCAGGTAAGTCCACTACAAGCTCACCATAGCCCGTGCTACTTGCCCCGCTCCTGTGCCAGGTAAGTCCACTACAGGCTCACCATAGCCCGTACTGCTTGCCCCGCTCCTGTGCCAAGTAAGTCCACTACAGGCTCACCATAGCCCGTGCTACTTGCCCCGCTCCTGTGCCAGGTAAGTCCACTACAGGCTCACCATAGCCCGTACTGCTTGCCCCGCTCCTGTGCCAAGTAAGTCCACTACAGGCTCACCATAGCCCGTACTGCTTGCCCCGCTCCTGTGCCAAGTAAGTCCACTACAGGCTCACCATAGCCCGTACTGCTTGCCCCGCTCCTGTGCCAAGTAAGTTACGGGCTCACCATAGCCCGTGCTACTTGGCACTTGTTCCGAGTAGCTGAATCTATAACAACAACAACAACGAACATTCCATCCTGGTGACTTACCTGCTTAGTTACAGCTCGCGCGTTTTCACAGGCCGGTGACCTGAAGTGTGTGTTGTGTGACCCGTACTGACCTCTAACTACCTGGGGCTTCACACCAGCGGGGTACTCCCGCTCTAGCAGGTCCAAACACTCTCCAGACACCGGTACCCCATTCTCTGCATTCTCATTTGGCGCCATGCTATATTTTATATATCCACACGCAGGAAACTTTTATTCTGATTAGGCTTTTTAGTCGCAACTAAATTTTTTAACTACTACTACTTCAGGCAAATTTGAGAAGTGTATTTTGCATGTTTGAGAAGAGGAAGTGAGAGAGAGAGAGAGCAGTGTTGGGGCGCCGCCACTACCACCCACCACTACTACTACACTACTGGTCGTGTGCTGCCTCGCTGCTCACCACCACAGCCCAAGCCTGCACCATCATCACCACCACCACGCCATGGTCACTCCACCACCCCCCTCTACCCGCCCTCCTGTCTCTTGTTGCTCCTGCTGGTGCTGCTGTTTCTTCCTCCTGTTGCTCCTGTTGGTGCGTGTTGTTCCTGCTGTTGGTGTGTGTTGTTCCTCCTGTTGGTGCTTCTTGTTCCTGCTGGTGCTGCTGTTTCTTCCTCTTGTTCCTCCTGTTGGTGAGTCTTGTTCCTCCTGTTGGTGAGTCTTGTTCCTGCTGTTGGTGAGTCTTGTTCCTCCTGTTGGTGCTGTTTCTTCCTCATCCTGCTCCTGTTGGTGAGTCTTGTTCCTGCTGTTGGTGAGTCTTGTTCCTCCTGTTGGTGCTGTTTCTTCCTCATCCTGCTCCTGTTGGTGAGTCTTGTTCCTGCTGTTGGTGAGTCTTGTTCCTCCTGTTGGTGCTGTTTCTTCCTCCTGCTCCTCCTGTTGGTGCGTCTTGTTCCTGCTGTTGGTGAGTCTTGTTCCTCCTGTTGGTGCTGTTTCTTCCTCCTGCTCCTCCTGTTGGTGCGTCTTGTTCCTCCTGTTGGTGCTGTTTCTTCCTCGTGCTCCTCCTGTTGGCGCGTCTTGTTCCTCCTGTTGGTGCTGTTTCTTCCTCGTGCTCCTCCTGTTGGTGCGTCTTGTTCCTCCTGTTGGTGCTGTTTCTTCCTCCTGCTCCTCCTGTTGGTGCGTCTTGTTCCTCCTGTTGGTGCTGTTTCTTCCTCCTGCTCCTCCTGTTGGTGCGTCTTGTTCCTCCTGTTGGTGCTGTTTCTTCCTCCTGCTCCTCCTGTTGGTGCGTCTTGTTCCTCCTGTTGGTGCTGTTTCTTCCTCCTGCTCCTCCTGTTGGTGCGTCTTGTTCCTCCTGTTGGTGCTGTTTCTTCCTCCTGCTCCTCCTGTTGGTGCGTCTTGTTCCTCCTGTTGGTGCGTCTTGTTCCTGCTGTTGATGTCTAATCTAAATTTAAATTTTGCCCTGATTGGCGAGTTTATTGGGCAGCACCACTCATCCTGTGAGTGGACACACCGCCATAGTGACAGTATTGGGCAGCGTCACTCACCCTGTGAGTGGACACACCGTCATAGTGACAGTATTGGGCAGCGTCACTCATCCTGTGAGTGGACACACCGCCATAGTGACAGTATTGGGCAGCGTCACTCATCCTGTGAGTGGACACACCGCCATAGTGACAGTATTGGGCAGCGCCACTCATCCTGTGAGTGGACACACCGTCATTGTGATAGTATTGGGCAGCGCCACTCATCCTGTGAGTGGACACACCGCCATAGTGACAGTATTGGGCAGCGCCACTCATCCTGTGAGTGGACACACCGCCATAGTGACAGTATTGGCCAGCGTCACTCATCCTGTGAGTGGACACACCGCCATAGTGACAGTATTGGGCAGCGCCACTCATCCTGTGAGTGGACACACCGCCATAGTGACAGTATTGGGCAGCGCCACTCATCCTGTGAGTGGACACACCGCCATAGTGACAGTATTGGGCAGCGCCACTCATCCTGTGAGTGGACACACCGCCATAGTGACAATATTGGGCAGCGCCACTCATCCTGTGAGTGGACACACCGCCATAGTGACAGTATTGGCCAGCGTCACTCATCCTGTGAGTGGACACACCGCCATAGTGACAGTATAGGGCAGCGCCACTCATCCTGTGAGTGGACATACCGCCATAGTGACAGTATTGGGCAGCGCCACTCATCCTGTGAGTGGACATACCGCCATAGTGACAGTATTGGGCAGCGCCACTCATCCTGTGAGTGGACATACCGCCATAGTGACAGTATTGGGCAGCGCCACTCATCCTGTGAGTGGACACACCGCCATAGCAGCATGTACAACACTCCCCAATAGGAAGAAATCCTGCTGGGTTGTTCATGATATGCCTATGAGTTGCGGGGCGCTTCTTTACTCCAAAAAGCGGAATGCACCATCATAAAACACCAAGGATTTGCACTCAGTGGTTCAAGACATTGTTTACGAAAGTGAGAGTGGGAAGGGAGTTAGGAGCTCCACTTAAGCACCATTCCAGGTTACCAAAACCTGACGAAAGGCTGTGGGGTGGTGTTTTTTAAAATCGATTTCCAATACTAACAATCTATATATATATATATATATATATATATATATATATATATATATATATATATATATATATATATATATATATATATATATATATATATATATATATATATATATATATATATATATATATATATATATATATATATATATATATATATATATATATATATATATATATAAAGTTTGTGAGGGTACATAGCCTCGGAGAAGAAAATAAAAAGTATTCAGAGGAGACTTTGTGGTTTCTCACTGAACACTAATATTATCTTCTCCTACCACCCGCATATATATATTCAGTTGCATATAGTCCTGGGGACCATTCAGGCTTGTTCGCATATATATATTATTGGTATGGGTATGGGGTACATAGCAAATCAACAAATTATACAACAAAATTCCTGCTGTAGAAATGCAAGGACAAAAAAAAGCCACCACAGTGTATGGGTGTTTTGGTTCGATGTTTGGCGTGAACCCTATAACCTGGCCGAGGGCTATTATGGCCACCACAGTAGTCGTCTGACTCGCCACCAGGTACTTTAGGCTTGAACATAATCCAGGACTAAACTCCTAGTGTATATACACCGAGAAGCTGAGTACATTTGGTGTTTACAGCCCTCGAAGCCAGAAATTAATGCCCGTCCACAACAATGACTTTGCTAGGACCTCGATGGACATGCGTAGAAGCTGTAGGGGCGCCAGAGAGGATCATAGCCGACTGACCATATATATAATTGTCGTGTTATCAGGGTGAGTGGCGGGAATTAGGAATGTTGGGCGGGGTAGTAGAAAGAACGGCCAAGTCAAGATAAGAAGCCTATCCACCTGGGAATTTTAAGAGGCAGTGATACTTTAGGCTGTCTGGTAGTGAGGTCGTTTATATAGCAGACATCACTAGCAGACATATTATAATGTCTGCCTCACTAGCAGACATATTATAATATGTCTGCTAGAGAGGTCGTTTGCATACATGAATGATTTCATTAACCAATTTGGCCGACGTTTTTTGGCCTGATCTAAACGGCCATATTTGAGGTGGTTTTATGTTGTTATTTTAGATTTAGCTACTCAGAGCGAAAATGTCCATGTAGCACGGGCTATGGTGAGCCCGTAAAGGTGGGTTTCCTTCACCAGAAGGACTTATAGGCAACCCACCTGACTTATCAAGGTCAATGATCGTTAGTCCCAGGTAGCCTCAGTAATCCTGTGCCTTTAAATTTCACCATAGGGCCTGCATTTTCGCGCTTTGATCAATAGCGTTAAATATATATATATATATATATATATATATATATATATATATATATATATATATATATATATATGTAGGGTTATTCCCTGAATCATTTATATAAATGAAACCCTTCCATCACTGCCCACAGGGTGTATATGCGTCTTTAGTGTTTATAATCCAATAATTAAACTAAACTCACTTGAAACCGAGGAGATTCCACTACATAGGTGTGTCATCAGGTGACTTGTCCTTGTGTAAGAAATATTTTGTATGTTTCGTTCATAGAGCGCAAACGAAGGTAAGGGAATTAATCATGGGAAATCGGCAATTCTTTAGGATTATACAGCAATTGGAAGGGGTCAGGATAAGGATTTGGGATGGGACGGAGAGAAGGAATGGTGCCCAATCACTTGGACGGTCGGGGATTGAACGTCAACCTGCATTAAGCGAGACCGTCGCTCTACCGTCCAGCCCAAGTGGTTGAGCATGGACGGTATCTTTCGCAATTGAATGATACGATACAGGTAGTGGTGTTTCAAACTCCACAACGTCCCTGTAAACAATTGCTCATTAATTCAGCAACCTGTTCTCAGGACACCCTGTCCTCAGGGCACCCTGTCCTCGTCAACAAAGGTTAAATGACCGCTCATCCAGCCATGAAACTCCCTGTTAACGAATGAACAACGCATTACACACGACTCGCAATTAATGGCGTTCGAATATTTCTCGAACAGTGTTTCGCTGACGACCTCTTTTCGAACCGCAACTCTGTAAATGCTTCACCTATGAACTACACGCACAAATAATCACCAACAGAACAGAAACACTTAACCTACGCCTAACTATAAATAAAACATTAATACTGTAAATAATAATATGCCTCAGGATATATTCATTTTGTAGTGCGTGAGTGATGCATTTACAGTTGCCACTGCAAGAGAGGTTGTCAGCGAAACGTTGTTCGAAAAATGTTCGAACGACACCAATCCGTCTTCATCACAACCCGCAAGCTTTTATAATTGCAGTGATTTGGTGGACTGTATATTGGATGAGCACTGAGGATGTAAGACTGCCTCTTACGCCAGGCAGGTACAATGCGTGCTGGTTTTGTATAGATTTTAGAAGAATAGTATTCTAAGTGCACATAGGTAGTAGTGGTGAGTCTTGTATTATGTTGCAAGTCTTGCATCTTGCGTGTTTCTAGGTCGTCTGATGGTGCTACATAGCCTTCCCGGCTTGGTGCCTTCTTTTGAGAATTACTTCTAGGTCGTCTGAGTGTGTTGGTCAAAAAAGTGAATTGATGGCCGGAATGTTTGTTTTCTCATGGAGACTTACATTGCTGGTGTAATGCTGCCAGTGGCTCTTGAAAATCCATCTAAGTCCGTAATTTATATTCGAGGAAATGCCGTTGTTGGTTACTCTTTGCTTCAAGATGCGTTTTTGCGACATTTTAGACCAATGCTACTGCCAAAGGTAACTGTAGTTATCTTTGTTCTTATGTTCTACATTAATAAGGTTGTTGATTTGTGGAATGGCTTACCGAGTACCAGACGAAGGATTTCTAGAGTGTTTCAAAAAAAGGTTAGATACACATACCCCCCTAACCTGACTTAATTTAA